GGGCACTGGCCACTCCTGGGGATCTGCGTTCTGTGCTGGACGTTTCCTCACTAGGGAGCTGAACGTTTTCAGCTCCATGACAACCTCTCACAACTGTTGGGACCGAATCGTTGCTCTGCTGCGTCTCTGTGACAGTGAAATCAGCCCTGCCCCCCCTCCGTAGGCCTGAGTGACAGGAGCTGTCTGAAAATGACTCGGGTGGGGGGCGTTTTGGAGACTGGCAGGGGTGGACTGGACGGCACGCCCCTCCGCTTCTCCTCCCTCCTCCTGCCGTTTTCTTTTGCAAGGACCCGAGGAGCCCAGAATTAGGCGAGCGGTAACGCCTCACTTCCATCCGCCCGCCCATGGACCCATTCATGAGCTCGTTCCCCAGCCGGAGAGTAAGAATGTCAGCCGTGGCTTCCCGCGCGGCCCCAGGAACAGCAGCACCTGCCACGGCTGCGCGTCAGACCGTTCTGCTCTTGCCTTCTTTCTTTTCTTTTTTTTAGAGAAGGGGCTTCCCCACGGTTTCAATCTCTTGACCTTGTGATCTGCCTGCCTCGGCCTCCCGAAGTGCGCAGCCGTGAGCCACCGCGCCCGGCCTTCTTTCTTTTGTGGCTGAGTCTCACTCCGTCACGGGCTGGAGTGCAGCGGTGACATCTCGGCTCACTGCCACCTCCGCCTCCCGGGTCTAAGCCGTTCTCCTGCCGCAGCCTCCTGAGTAGCTGGGACTACAGACACGCGCCACCGCGCCCGGCTAATTTTTGTATTTTTGGTAGAGATGGGGTTTCACCATGTGGGTCAGGATGGTCTCGAACCCCTGACCTCGGGGCCTCCAAGAGCGGGGGGATTACAGGCAGGAGCCACAGCACCACGCCGCGCTCCTTTTTCTTTTTGAGATAGAGTCTCACTGTCCCCAGGACATGTCCCCTCCCATGCCAGTGCCATGGCATGATTTCAGCTCACTGCAAACTCCACCTCCTGTGTTCAAGGGATGCTCCTCCCTCAGCCTCCTCAGTAGCTGAGGTTACAGGCACATGACCCCACAACTGGCTAATTTTTTGTATTTTAGTAAAGACGAGGGTTTCGCCGAGTTGCCCAGGCTGGTCTCAAACGCCTGAGCTCAGGAGTCTGCCCGCCTCGGCCTCCCCAGGTGCTGGGATGACAGGTGTGAGCCACGACGCCCGGCCCTGGTGTGTCTTTTAATAGAGGGAAGCCGGCTGCAGACCCCCTCAGGTGTCCTTCCTAAACCAATCCGGGACTGACCCCGGATCCCAGCACAAGCCCAGGTGACCGGCATTGTGGACAGCAAGGGGGTTAGAATGCGGGCGTGGGGAATGTGGGCGGCATTCTCCTGTCGCCACGGTGACCACAGACACATTTGGGTGTGGAAGGACTGAGGCCGTGGGCTGGGGAGCGACCTGTGTATGGGGGAGCCCAGGCAAGGGCGGGGTTCACTCGGTAGCCAGCACTCCGAGGCGGGGGGCGGGTTGGAGAAGGAGCCGGACGGCGACCCCCGCGGCCTCCAGAGCTCTGTGTACGGGAGCCGGCGGGTCACAGACCCCAGACTCCAGGACCTGGGCCATGCAGAGCTGGGCCCTGAAGACCCAGAAGAGGAGCTTCCCCCCGAGGAGGGGGCCGGGGAGGAGCTCCCGGAGACCCTGGAACCCAAAGACGCCCTTTCTGAATTGGAGAGAGTTCTGGACCACGACGCAGAGGAGGACATTCCTGAGATGAGGTGGGCACCGGGCCTGCCCGGGCACGGGGTGGGGTAGGGCTCAGCCCCTGGCCATGGGGGAGGCAGCAGCCCCCACACCCACCAGTCCCCAGGGCAGCTTCCCGGGCACATGAAAGGCTTGTTCCCAGCCTCTCCCTGGCTTGCTGCTCCCAAGGGGCCCTGCTGAGGCAGCCCAGGTGTTGGCCGGGTCAGAGGGTGGCCTGGGCGTGGGCCGGGCCAGACGGCGGCCAGCACCTCTCCCTGGGCGCTGAGGCAAACGCCGGCAAACACTTCCGTCCAGCGGCAGGAGGTGGAGTAAACTGATTTTGGAGTCAGGCACACTGTGCTCAGACGCCCAGAGTTCAGGGTTTACAAGTGATGGCCTCACGTCAGACAGAGGGAGAAAGAAATGGGAAAAAGAATCTCCCAATCTGGCCGGGGGAAGTGGCTCAAGCCAGTCATCCCATCACTCTGGGAGGCCGAGGCGGGCGGATCACAAGGTCAGGAGTTCGAGACCAGCCTGAGCAACACGGTGAAATCCCATCTCTACTAAGATGGCAAGAATTAGACAGGGCCGGGCACGGTGGCTCACGCCTGTAATCCCAGCACTTTGGGAGGCCGAGGCGGGTGGATCACGAGGTCAAGAGATCGAGACCATCCTGG